AAAGAAAGAAAAAAAAGAAAACACATCTATTCATTTGGTTAGATAGCTAAAAATGTTTCTGAAAGGATCCGTAGGAAACTAGTGACATTATTTTCTTCTAAGGCGGGAAACAGGGTGGCTGGAGGTCAAGGGTGGGAGGGAGGCATTGCACTTTTGTACCTTTGTCTACTAGGAACCTATGTGATTAATATTCCCTGAATACCTTGGAAAGTAGAGATGGAAAGACACTCAGAAGCATGGGAAAAGGGCATAGAAAACCAGTTTAGTAATTTTAAGAAAGAATAGTTACCTTTTTTTAGTTAAGAGAAAGAGAAAAGAGAGAACCTAGTCTGCTTTATACCTCTTGGCTTCCAATCTTTCAGTTTTTGCAGTTTTATTCATACGCGTTCATGACCTATTTTTGAATGTGTTAAGCCTTTATTGCATAATTACCTTTGAGAAGCATATGCTCATTTGTTAGAAATCTTATGTAATTCCAGTTGAGAGGGGGTTCTTATATACTTCAAAAATCTCAGTGAGAGATTGGCGTGAATAGGATCTTTCCCTGTCCTTTCTTAAGGAGTAGAGACCTTGCTGTCTTGCCTGTTGCCCTAGCTGAGCATGAAGTCTGACCTCCTTTCCCTGTCACAACAGAACTAGGCCAGACTTCTAATAATAAGGGTCCAAAGGTGGAAAAAGGAAACTCACAGGCCATGCAACCTTGGAAAATTACTTACCCTTACTTTACCACAGTTTCTGTATGTATGAAGCAGTGATGTTAACACCTTCTTTATAGAGTTGGTTAAGAATCAGAGGGAGGTAGTGTGTGTAAATCACCTAGCGCAGAACCTGACACCTTGTAGTTGCTTAAAAGTGGTGTTTAACTAGGAGAGCCTTTTCACTGAGTTTGAAAGATAGTTGTTTAGGAGAAGTAGGGACTGTATCAGTTATCTGTTGATATATAATAAACTATCACAAACTTAGGGGCTTAAATAAAATAACAATGAAATGTTATTTCCCGTAATTCTGTGGTTTGCCTGGGTGGTATTCTGCTTGTTCCCTTACATTTACTTGTGTAGCTGCAATAAGATGGTGGCTGGAATGGGCAGGTGGTCCCAGATGGCGTCATTCACACTTCTGGCAGGAGCTGCTGGCTATTGGTCAGTTGTGTTGGTTCTCCTCCACGTGACCACTCCTGTCCAGTCAGCTACACCAGCTTCCTTACAGCATAACTGTCCCAGCATGATGTTCTGAGAAGGCAAACTCCAGTTTTGGCATATCAAGTCTCTGCTTATTTTAGTAGTGTTGATTTCCCACTGGCCAAAATTCTTCACAGGGTCCAGCCGAGAGTTACTGTGGAAGGAGAGGACTTAGACATGTTACTTGGGTAGGGGAGGAGTGGTAAAGAATTTGTGGCCATTTTTAATCTACCACAGCCTGATGTTTGTTCTGGTTCTTAGACTACTATTAAACCCAGAAAGAAGAGATTCTGTTTGTTTCTTCAGTTTTTCTCTGTTATTGTTACCTTCTTTAGTCCACACAAGAGCTGATTAAGGAACTAGAGTAGAGGCATTATGTTTGGACTACAAATCAGAATGAAGGGTAATAGCTGCTTTTATGTATTTGTAAATCATTTTTTTGAAGGAAGGACTAGTTCTGGGGTGTGGAAATGACTGGAAAGCAGGTATTTGAGGAAGGATTGCTCTGTGAGATTGTAAGTTGTTGAGTGCCGTCTTTCCCTCACCCCCCACATTTTTAGAAGCAGTAAGGTGGAAGATGGGTAATCATATGTTGGGCCTTTGGAGGAATGTTTTCCTCGTTGAATGACTTGACTTATGTGATTCCTGTTGGTATCAAAAGTATGTGACAGTGGGTCTGGGAGCTAAGCAAGACTTGTTCTGGTTCTTAGAATAGTATTAAACTCAGAAAGAAGAGATTCTGTTTGTTTCTTCAGCTTTTCTGTATCATTGTTACCTTCTTTAGTCCAATACAAGACCTGATTAAGGAACTAAAGTAGTGGTGATGGTGAAATCTAGGGAGGTGATGCCACATGGTCCCATGTGGGTTTCTTTTACACTTCTCTAATGTCCATACCCTAGGCTCAGGCGCATGGGGCCCATGAGAGACTATCCACTCTTCAGGGGTTCCTCTTCAGCCATCCTCCTCAACCCTCCCAGGGTCATTAATGGTTTTCTGCCACTTGTGTTAGGCCCTAGAGCCTGGTTGTGGAGCCACTGGAGGTACAGACCCATGTGTGAGTTAAAGCGGCTGTGCGGTACCACTTTGAGGACATTGGTGTGGTGCAGGGGGTTGGGCTGTGCAAGTGGAGCCTGTGTAGCTTCTCACCTAGGAGAACCTGCCCTGAGGGCGGCCGTGCAGAAGCCTGGGAGCTGTCTGGCAGGCAGCAGGCAGGAAGGCAGGTGGCACTGCATCTGACCTTCCTGCTGCTGATCCAGCACCAGGCTCATCTCTTGCTCACCTTCAGTCAGCCACCTCTCTGACTCTGCTTATCTCTTGGCCCTGAAAATCTATCACCTTTACTTAGAGTCTGGGCAATTTTGAACCGCTGGTGACCAGTCTGACCCTTCATGATCCCAACGTTTTTGATCCCCGGTAGAGACACTGAAGCTCTGCATGATGTTTGAGGATGCAGGACTTAGTTCTGGGTTTCCTCTTATTTTTTTCTGTGCATGTAAACATAAGACATCTCTCTGTAGGAAAAAACCTGTCAGATAACCCACCAGAAAGACTCTGATTTTATAACTCAGAAAGAGCATCATTCTTTTGAAGTTGAGATTAGGCATGGGATGGGGCCATAGTAGAAAGGGAGGGAATTGCTGTGTTTAGACTGGAAGAGTTACCCAGAATTTTAAATTTTACTTGATTTATAAAAGACAGATTTACCTGCTGGAACCCTTGAAAGTGGGAACTTAGTATTGGTGTGAAGAGCACTTCTGTTTGGTATATAGTGTTAGGAAGTGCTGCATCTTCAAAGGGGTTTCTTGTGGATCTTCTTGGTTTAGCATGGGAGTCATTGAGTAACGCTTTCAGGAGAGAAGAAATTGAAGTAAATAAATATGTACTGCTGCTCTAGCAGCTATAGAATAACTAGATGGCTTATACAATTTGTGTGGTTAAAGCAATTTTGGTATATTTCCCAAGTCATGTGTTTTGCCTTACCCAAACATGATTTTGGGATCTCTTCATTTTATAACTATACTCTGGGCCCAAATGTTGTTGTCAACTGAGCATACTCTATCAATAATTGATCAGAATGTGAGACTGTTTCCTTTCTCCTTTTATCTGTCTCATTTCTTTGTTTGGGGGATTTTCCCCAGGGGCTGCTGCTCACTCCATTGTAAAGCTGCTAAACAAGAAGTGGGATGAGGGTGCCGCACTTGACTTTGGTCAGAGGTGTTTCTGTGGAGCCTGCTCTGTTTCTGGTACTTGGTTTTTTAGAAGACTGTGAGTGATGCAGTAAGCTGCAGTACCTATAGTGATTCAGACAGAGTGGTGGTAGATTTTTGGTGGGAAGCATAATTAAAAACTACAAATAAATATGCTAGCTAAAGCAGAAGATTGCTTTCCTGACGGTGCATTTACAAGCTGGGAAATTGTGAAAAACATCAACCCACCAACTGTTTAGCTCATTGGCTCTTTTCTCTGGGCTTCAATGTTCTTTCTGATAAAAATAATAATTATGTTATTCTGATATGGTTGCCAAGCGTTCATGCTTCTCACTCCACTTTGATTATAAATGATTCTGCAACATGAATTGCTTTGTCTCTGATTTAATGTTTCATAACATTTGAGTGTTATGTTATCTGTGCTGATTTGTTTTTCTCTTACTTTTCAGAATGGACTGCTGAAATATGAAGTATTTCAGACCCAATAGTAGAATATCACTCTGCCACTTACTCCTTTATCTCCTACTAGTTATTTAAATTGGACTTTTAATATCCTACCAGCTGCTCTTCAGACACACATGGTGCATTGTTGCCATTCCCCGGATTGCATCTTTGAAACACAGGCTCTTAGTAACCTTCAGCGAACAAAGAGGCAAACTGTTGAATATATCTACTGGGAGGAAGTCATCCTGACTGCCCTCTAGCTTTTGCTGGATCTGGATTTGAATTCCACCATGGAGCCTCGCATGGAGTCCTGCCTGGCACAAGTGTTGCAGAAGGATGTGGGGAAACGATTGCAGGTTGGCCAAGAACTTATAGACTATTTCTCAGATAAACAGAAGTCTGCTGACCTTGAGCATGACCAGACCATGTTAGATAAACTTGTGGATGGACTCGCTACCTCTTGGGTGAACTCTAGCAATTACAAGGTAAGCTGTGCTTTAGAAGGCATTCTTATAAGTGAGTGGGTTGCCTTGGTGAATCAAAATTGCTCCTTAAAAAAAAAAAAAACAAAACCTTTGTAAGCATTCAGCGTGATTCTTTGGCTTCCATAAGACATTCATTTCAGGTTGTGGCTTTTGGACATTTTATTCTAGAGCAAGTAGTTTTCTTTTTTTTTAGTGGGGAGGAAGTGGGAGGAAGAAATCTTTTAGCACTTTGAGAGAAGGTCAAGTGGACAGATACGGAGAATCTTTTATGTTGGGACGTTTACAAGCATTTGCAACCTTGATGTAAGTATGTTTTGTGTCTTGCAGTAAATAGGTCATGAGACCTTGGTGAGTAGCCCTTCATGAATGAATAACAGATGTCTTCACTGATTTTCTCTGGGAGATCACAGTGGTAGTAGAAGGTAGAACATTTAACCTTCAAGTCACTTTTGTGAAGCTGGCCCAAGTACCTGGCCAGAAATAGTATGAATTGTCAAGGATGCTTGTGTGACCTGTGTGTAAATGGCCTAGGTCTTAGAGGATCCTTCAGGTTTTAATGATCAAAGCTTTTCATGTGCCTTTGGCTGGAAGTATGGGTGGGGGTAGGGTCTGGACCCTGTGGCCCAAATGAATTCTGAAGGTTGACTTTTTAATTAAATTAAATTAATTAATTATTTTTGAGGTAAGGTCTTGTTTTTTTTGTCTGAGCTAGAGTGCAGGGCCATCATCAGAGCTCACTGCAACCTTAGCTCCAGGGCTCAAGCAATCCTCTGGCCTTGGCCTCCCAAATGACTGAGAATATAGATAGCTACATACTACCATGCGTGGCTAATTTTTCTATTTTTTGTAGAGATGGAGTCTCATTGTGTTTCCAGGCTGGTCTCAAATTGCTGGACTCAAGTGATTCTCCTACCTCAGCCTCCCAGAATGCTGAGATTACAAGTGTGAGCCACTGGGCCTGGCCAAAGTTGACCATTTTACCTTTCAAAGACTGAGCATTCATGAATAAAAGCTAGTCTGGACTTGAAGTGCTGAAGAGGTCGCATTCCTCTCCCTGTCTTCCTCCTTCCTCCCTGTCCCTTGCCCTCTCTTTTAGTTTACAGAGGGTGGCCCCTTTGGATCAGGCTGAGATGGAAGGAAGAGTGGAAAGTTTGCACGACTGCTAATAGGTGCTATAGACAGTACAGATGGGGCCTACAGAAACAGAATCTTTTGTACTTTTTTCACTGACTCAGTCTTTTGAGATTGGTTTGGACTTAGAAACTGGCACTTATAGGATCCCTTTGTTGGCTCCAGTATGGACTATTTTCTAAATATATTATTCAGTCTCATCTGAGAACAATCAGGCTTTATACTTGCTAAGGGTGTTACCTAGGGCCCTAATGTCTTAAAACTGGATGCAAATTTTATCCTCCCTGTTTTTAAAAGCTGAGCTAAAATTCTCTTTCATTCACCTCTTTATTCACTTAGCTGGAGTTAATTGTGTCTCAGTGCTTGGCATTGGTTCAGGATGATGGGAGTGTTGAAGAGACAAAAGGTGATAGGATCTAGTCATCACATTATTGAGGGCCATAAAAGCTCTTATCTGTGTTTGAGTCACGGCCTTACCACATTTCTATGTGCAGATTAGGATGCTTCTGGCAGAGTAATGTGAAACTGACTCTATTGATCTAAAGTTACCCTAAGAAAATTTAGTATCTCAAGTAATTAAGTCCAGTAGTAGTTAAAACAATGTCTGGGGAAGGAGAATATCTTCTTGTATGTCTTACTTGAGAGGAACCTTTCCCAGAAGTTCCCCAGCAGAATTTTCTTGCGTCATATTGGCCAGATGGTTTTGAATGGTGTCCATGATTGCTTTTGACTGTCATGCTTAACCTACTGGTCTTAAATGGGGGTCTAGCCTTTTCTGAATGAAGCATGAGGCCGAGGTGGGTGGATTGCCTAAGCTTACAGGTTTGAGACCAGTCTGAGCCCAGAGTGAGACCTTGTCTCTAAAAATAGCTGGGCATTGTGATGGGCACCTGTAGTCCCAGCTACTTGGGAAGCTGGGGCAAGAGAATCACTTGAGCCCAACAGTTTGAGGTTGCTGTGAGCTACGATGCTACGGCACTCTACTGAGGATGACAAAGTGAGACTCTGTCTCAAAAAAAAAAGGAAACGTATGTGAACAGTGACTACATTCCTGTTGGGGATGGCACTGGGGTAACACGGATGTTAAATTGGTAATCTGTAGAGTCAGCTATACTGGGTGAGCTTTTATAACATCCCCAAGTCCAGATTTCCTATCTAGAATGTCTAGAGAATCAATTTATTATGAGCATTAAGTGAAAAAGTGAGGATGAAGTTATCATACACCCGCCACGTAGTAAGCACTAAGACATTTGCTATTGTTACCAATGCATGGGTTCCTGTGTTCAAGGAGCTCATAGTCTTTGGGGAGGAAACTGGTAAATAAACAGATGGTTACAATACAGTACAGTGTGCAATAATAGCAGTATACAGAATTCTGTAGAAAGACAGAAGGTGAAAATAGTAATACCGCCTAGAGGAATTTAGAGTATTGAAGATAGGGTAGATTTTCCAGAATAGCATTTGCAGGTTACAAAAGAGTGAAATTTCAAGATTTGACCTTTTGTAAAGTAATTTCTAAGCAAAGACAGGTTAGTGTGATTCAGCAAAGTCAGAAATACGGAGTTTACTGCTAACTAGCTTATAACCATGGGCAATTTAGTTAACCTATTTGTGCAATGCAGATGTTAAACTAGATAATTGCGTGGTAGTCCGCAAGCTCTAACATCTTATATGACTTAATACAGATGGGTTTACAGTCAAGGGCCATGTGATGTAGTTCTAATCTTATTACACAGTGCTGAGCAGCGCCCTGGATTGTGCTGTTCGCTAAGTGTGGTGACAGCCTACCTTGTTCATAGCTGGCTTTTAGAGTCTGAAACATAATAGGTGCTCAGTAAATGCTGATTCCATGAGTGAATTCAGGAACATTGAGAAACTGCTCAGCAAGTATTGCTGGTTGCTTTACTGAAATTTAGAGATTTATCTATTAGGCCCTGCCCCCCTTTTCTTAATCATAGATCAAGATTTCTCATTCAGAGGCTGAGGTATACTTTAGGCTTTATTCAACATCTTTTATGTAATCAGAATTGAAGGGATTAGTTTTATATTAAATAAAACTTTGAAACTTGGCTTCTCGAATTTTTAAATTAAGGGCTAAATGATAATTAGAGGAGAAAGGAGAAGTAATTTTGGCCTTCCAAAACAGTAATAACTTGTGTGTTGGCATTAGTTTTCTTAACAGAGGAGATTGATAAATCCTAGTTATCTTATTTTAAGAAATATTTGGCTAGACATTGAACAGCTTCCCATTTGAATATTTCTTAGCATACTAGACAAATTTGTTATGTGGCATTAATTACAGTTGAGTGGGTGCTATTTCTTGCTCACTTTGTGTCAGGTATATTTGCTTTATCTCAGTCTGTGTAACACCCCTGCAAGGTAGATAATGGTATCCTTACAGTGTGTACTATTTTACCTTGCTAAAATCTGAAAAATTCTGTATTCTAGAACACACTTGTCCTCCAGAGTTTTGGATAAGTGATTGTGTACTTAATTTTGTGGAAATAATGGTAGCTCATGTATGGTGTGTTTACTATGTACCAAAAATTGTGCTAAATATGTGTACATTTTAAACTTAAGAGTTAGAAGTTGTGTACCTTGGTGAGGTAGATATTGTTATTCTCATGTTACAGATGAGAAGACTAATGCTCAAAAAATCAGTAACTGAGGCCTAGGAATATGAGATAATTTCTACTAGTGATTATGGAACTGGATTTAAATAGAGGTTTCTTTGATTTCTTAGCCAGTGCTCTTTCCATAAGAATAGAGGTCAGTAAATTTTTCTTACACGCCAGATAATAAATGTTCTAGGTTTTATGGGCCATATTTTCTTGTAAATATACAACCTGGGCCATTGTATTCCAAAAGCAGCCTCAGGCAATATATAAATGAATGGGCCTGGTTGTATTCCAGTAAAACTTGATTTGCAGAAACAGGCTGAAGGCCAGTTTGGCCCTTGGACCACAGTTTGTTCACCCCATACTAGAACATTGAGTACCCACTATGGTGCCACTTAGGTAAATACTTTTTTCTTCAGTGGTAGGAACCATTAGTGATTAATCTGGGAGAAGAAGAATTGTAAGGTTTATGATTTTTTTTTTTAGAGACAGAGTCTCATTTTACTGCCCTTAGTAGAGTGCTGTAGTGGTCACAGCAACCTTAAACCCTTGAGCTGAAACTATTCTCTTGCCTCAGCCTCCCGAGTAGCTGGGACTACAGGCACCTGCCACAACACCTGGCTATTTTTGTTGCAGTTTGGCTGGAGCCAGGTTTGAACCTGCCACCCTCGGTATATGGGGCCAGTGCCCTACCCACTGAGCCACAGGCGCCATCCGAAGTTTATAATTTTTATATAATTGGGGAATGAGAAGAGCCTCAGTTTAGATTAAATAGAACTCAGATGGTTTTTGGATTGCCTTATGTGATTCAGAAAAAAAATTTTTTTTAAGTTCTCACTCAGACTCATTGGGATCAGTTTTTTTTTTTTTTTAAGTACCAATAAATATTTATTCATTGTATTTTCCCAGGGACTGTAGAAGAGAGGGAAAAGAGTCAGCATGCTTGCTACAAAATGATTAGAAAATGGGAAAGGAATTACCCAGTATAGCAAAATCAACCATCAAATTAACATACCCTGGGGTGGGATCACCAAAGCCCAAGGGGGCTCAGTTTCCTGCAGTTTAGGAAGGAGGTGAAGGGATTAGAAAAATAACAGACGTTACAGGCTTTCCTACCTTCCCTCCCTATAAATTCAAGATTTCACACAAAGCTTTGATTTCCAGCAGTAAATAGGAGGTTATATTCATCTGTGTCCTATTAAACAATCTCATGGCCACTTTGACATAAGTTTCTTGCACCTGTGTAAAAGT